CCCACCCCAAAGGAATTTTTGTTCACAAAAGGGATTAGTTACTCAATACTGCACACAAAGTCTTCACAATTTCCAGTCAGGCTTGGGATAATTATACCTTCTGTAATCCACAATCCACTAGGTTAGCTGATGAATTAGTGTGCTTTTTACAAAGAAGTAATACTCATGTTACAATTTGTAACACAAACCAAAATAAAAAATCCTCTGAAAACTAACCCAAAGAAAAACAGAAATCAATAAAATAAGGGAAAATCAGCCATGCAGTGAAACAAACAGAATTAACAGAGAACACTTTCAACCCTATCAGGTTTCAGTTTAAATAAAGCAAACCCCATACTGCAGAAACACAAAGGCCAATGTTTTCCCCTTCTATGTATGTACATCAACAGGGGTTATGCAAAAATTCAAGGACAGAATGTGACTGAATAGTAATTTTTTAAATTATTTTGTACTACCTTTTATACTTGATCATTTAGTAGTCACATTGAGTTTGATGCAAATATTCATATGAGAAAAAATAACTTGCATAAGAAAGAAGTGTAGAATCAATCACAATCAATAACATCCTAGTTGTATTCAAAGGGGCAACATGGAATATAAAACACAAATTGGAAAATCTGAGTTATATTTATTGATAATGTTACTTTAAGGTAATTAAAATATTCTTGTAGATGAAAGGTGATAAGTCACTATCAGATATCTTTAGGCAGACATAGGATCTTTGTTACTCCTGGATATTCCACTTCTTTCTTGTTTCATTCACTCTATGTTTACAGTAAAACATCTTGACTAGATGCTTAAGATTTAGCCCAAAAGAGCTTCATCAGTGTTAAAAACCAGAGAAAATAATCAGGCTGTTGGAGCCACTAAGCAAGAATGAAAGGAAGAGCTCGTGCATTAACACTTTGAAAGACATACTAAATGTGTGGGTTCATTTGATTCATACTCATTCCAAAGTAAGGCTCTGATTTTGGGAGCACTGCACAAAACAATGTCCTCAGACACACCTGACATTGGCTCAGGTAGGTGCTCTCCTAAAATGCCAGTTCCACGAGGCGCAGACCATAAACACTGATGCAATCCAGCTGCACAAAGTTCACATCTGGCTGAAGTCAGTGCTCATTCTGGTATCTGTTGAGGACTTTTACACTACTGACAGGTTGGTCAGAGCTGCTGCTGCACTAAGGAGACTGTTATAGGTCCAGCAGCTGCAAATAAAAGACTAAATGATGGCTGATAGCATAAGTAAAATATTTTTTTTAAGGACAGTTTTCACAAACTACTGGTTACACAATAAGTATAAATAAATGCCTGGTCTAAAAACTCAGATGTTATTCTGGACCAAAGAATGCCAGACACATACAAAACTCTGGGGTTTTCAGATCAGGCTTTGGGACTTCTCTGGGATTTAAAATATGCAAAATTCCTGTCCTTCATAAATTCCAGCACTGCTTCTCATTCCATAGCACTGTACAAGTCTGAAATGGCTGGACTTCTGCACATCTTTATCTTAATCCTACTTAAAAAGCTTATGAATGAGAGCACTGGAAAATGGAGGCAAATCCTGTTTTCCTCAGCTGAAATGTCTACTGAATTCACAACTGTTTACTGAACTCCTGGGATGAGGACAAAGCAAGAATAGCTGTGCCTCTAATACGGTAATTAGTGACTGAGATGAGGTGCACATATGCATTTACTAAATAGAAAAAAATCAAAAAGTTAATTGTGTCTGTACTGTGCAACAGTACTTGACCTATAATATTCCTTTTTTTACTAGCTAAACATAGTTTTAATTTCTTGCCACACATTCTTCTTGCTTTCTCTTATTTATTGTGGCATATCCTGTAAAATGCATACTGCTCATTCACTGTCACCTTGCTCTGTCTCACCTTGCTGTAAGTGAAGTCAGTGGCAAACCTTCACTGACCTCGAAAGGAGCAGGATTTGTCCTGAGATGCCTAATCCAAAGCAGGACTCCCTCTTAATTCAGTAAGCTTTGGATCAGACCTAGAAGGGTTCTTAGCAGAATCAAGAAGTGGCAAGACACAGTCACATATCAAAACCACATCCGAGTATTTATCTCACATTTCTAATCTTTGATGTGAAAGGGATTAAAAAGCAAGCTGTTCCTGTCAACTGCTTGGATGCCACACAGGATTTAAATGGCTGAACAAGAACCTATAGGATATTTATGCACATCCATTTGGTTTAATTTCTTCAAAAGGCAGCTAATATTTGAATTTGAGGCTTATGGTAGTATTTCCTCACTTGCTTCCCAACTTGCTACTGTCAAAATCCCACCATCCTTTCTATTCCTACAGAGGAAATAAGATGTTTGTGCTTCTTGTCTCAGGACAAACTAGAAACTTATTTGACCAAACACAAAAATGAAAAATCTAAAAGAGATGTTATCTAAACACTTCAGACAAAATCTTGCCAGTGATCCTAACGCAGTCTGTTTCAAAATGCATTCAACTGATTCCACCATATCTTGTTTTATTTTACTAAGGTAAAATGTGTTGTGATGGGCTTTGCTCTCCTTTATGTCATTCAGCCAAGTTTCTATAGCTGTCTGAGCTGCCATGGGAATATCTGACAATGATTTTGGCTCATATATGTATTTACAGACTGAAGGTGACTAGATAGAGAAACTGACTGCATGAATTATGGTGACTTCTAACTACCAGAACCACAGAAACCACATCAAATGGCATTAACTTAGACAAGAGGCAATTGAAATAATGAAAATCATTACATGTGTACAAGTGCAATGTGAAACTCCCCGTAGCAAGAAAGAACTATAACATTGAATCAAATTAGAGCATGAAGGGAAAAGGAAATAAAAAGTTAAAAAATAATTATTTAGACATCTGGGGAAATTGAAGAAACAGCCACATCTATCTGCAAAATCTGAGGAGAAATCTGCTCGGAGTGACCAAAGGGGGATTTTCTTAAAAGCTGAGGGTCAGCCTAACTTCTTTTAGCAAATGCATGATGGGGCACTGTGTAAGTCATAAGAACAGTTTGATGAATGGCAGGCACTCATGCAAGTTTAACCATCCTATATTTCTGCATTTATTCAACATGCAAATGAATGAAAGCAAGTCACAGGCAAAGAATGCAAAAATCAGTATATTACTTTTGTTTTATTCATCTGCTTCATCTTGCTGTGTTGACTCCTACCCAGTCTTAGGAAAACACTAATTAAGCATATGTCTCAAGCCTTAGAGACAACTGCCTTGGTTTCTGTATATGGAAGAGGAAACATTTCACACACAGATCTGCCTGCTGGATGTCTCTGGGGCGCTGTCCGTGGCCAGGTGATCCCGCAGGTCGCGCGCAGCGTGTTCAGCAGCGTGGCTCAGACAGGATTTCCTCCTGCCCGCATCCAGGAGGAGAGGTCCCTCATGGAACACACTGGTGACGTTTCAAGGTGTGCAGGACTGAGAAGCTGGGCCCTGAGCCCTGCAGGCAGTGCAGGAGCTGTGTCACAGAAGAGCTACAGGAGCTGATGGATGTTATCTTGCACCAGGGGATCACGGTGCGTAACACGGCCTCCCTGAACCCTTTCTGGCAAAACTTACGCCCATCTGCTTCCCCTCTGCTCTTTCTCCTGGAGAGGAACATATGGCCCAGAATATGTATCTTGGAAGCAGAAAATGTATTCATGTAGTTTTCTAAAATATTCTGAATAAATTTATTCATGTAGTTTTCTAAAATATTCTGAATACATTCATTTTTCTCCTATAAGCTTTTATTCCACTTACGAACCTTAAATTCTGCCACAACATTTTTTTTAATAGAGTTCCTTGCTTAAAAAGTTAGGCAGCTCACAATGAAAAATGAAAATTTAAAAAAACCCCCATGTTTTGTACCTCAATAGTAAGAGTTACTATTGGAAGAAAAATTTTTGCCAGAATTCTCATATTTTTGTCCATTGAAACATCATATTTAATACTTACCTTGGTCCAAGAGCAATGCATCCAATAACAAACAACAACAGAAGAGAATAAAGCCACAGTTAAGCTTAACATGAACACCTAAACATCAAACACTTTAGAATCATTCCAACTGGAGATGAGCTTCCAAAATTTACCTCACATTAATTAGTGCTTCACACCACAAACAGAACAACTAAGTTCCTCAAGATGCAAGAAAATCTTTGTTTTAAATACCAGTACCAATATCTGTGTGTGCAGTCCCATTTCCACAACCAGGGTAAACTTTTCCGTTGTATCAGTGAAACTTCAGCCAACTTCCCTGTTTGGAGACTGCAGAACTGGACCCAGGATCCATCTGAATTCGTTCTCACTTCTGACTAAATATATATAAACTTTACACATCTATATTTGTGTGTGTACATGTATAGAACACATACTTGTTTATATACATATACCTGTATACACATAAATATGCATGCATAAAAATATACATATGCATTAATATTTTAGTATTTTTATACAAAACACTCTAATTCTTGCTTGCAAAAATGGAGTATAAGAGAAAACATGCCAAAATAAAACCATGCCAGACCAGCTGATGGTTCTTTGATAGCTTATCCAGCACAACCCACCAAACACTGACACACCACATATGCAGGGCCTGTAATGGGACAAGCAACACTGAAGTGGATGTTTGTCATAAGCAAATACTTTTCTAACAAACAAGTAGATAATGTACTCTGTCTGCATTTTCATTGAAGTGTTTCATATGGAGTCTATTAAGAATCACACAGAAGTTTCTCATCACATACAGCAAAAGCAAAGTACAGTACAGTAGTACAGTAGTTGCCTAAAAACAACTGAACTAAACAGGATTCCGTCTGCTGATTTCAGTGGGTTTAGGACAGATCTGGGTGTTTTCACTAAATGATATGTAGATTTTTAGATTCTTCTTTTCTCTAAATATTTTAACAGATGTTGTTGATTCCTACAAGTCAGATGCATGGGTCATGAAACCATTTTCTACCATCTTTGTATTAAGCCTATTGTTTATCCTACCTTTGCTGCAACAGATGAGTTGGGTTTCTCAAGCAAGTCCCAAAGCTTCTTCCTTTTCTCTGGGCAGCAGGTATTATCAAACTCTTCCCCTTCTCTCTCTCGCAATGTCTCTGCCTCTCTCCTCAGTTCCTCATTCATTTGCTCTTTCTTTTGATGGTATCTTGCCTGGCAGCAAGATTCTAAATATATTTCATCAATCCCCCAGTAATCAAGCTCCTGGCCAAAAGAGAGAGCACACATTTCTTCCATCATATGTAGTTTCCCTGTCCTGTAGAAATTCAAAATGGAAGTGAAAGCCCCTGGGTGTCGATCAAAAAAATACTCATTTTCATTCAGATTATAGTCATCACATACTTCTAGCAGAGATTCATGGGTATTGCAGTCTCTGAGCTTTCCCAATCGTGTCCTTGGAAGTCTGTCCAAAGTCCTCCACAGCACTTCATGGTTGAGTCCACCAACATTTATTTTAACTCTCCGCGAACAGGCTTTGCTCCTGATGATCTCCACTGGCTCCGGAGGCAGAGAAAGGGTGGACCTTGAAGACTTTTTGGTGATCCCTGGTGGAGCTTTCTCAGCCATTCTGAAAAAGATGAAGTTGTAACACCAGAGTCTGTAGGAAAATGAGCTTGGAGACTAGGAATATTTGGGCAGAATCCTCTTCAGACAGACACCTCCATTCCTGAATCTAAAAAAGACAAAAAATTAAAATATTGCCAGGTACAATGCATCCCCCAATATCTCTTTCTCTCTTTTTCCATACTTTCACATGCAGATGAAAATTTAATGATTGCAATTTACCCTCTTTATAGTGATACTCTTTGTGGTAATATCCAGAAGCACTGGAATAGCTGGAACAGCTAAGAGCACTATGCTTAAGCAAAGGAAAAACTCACTGGAATTCCTGTATTTGTGAAAATCAACTGCTACAATTTGTAAGAATGACTTGGTTTTTTTTAAGAATCAGTTTCTGATGCAGCTGTGTTAGCTTAATCTGATTACTTATCTTTCAATGTGTGAGGTGTTCAAGTGGAAAGATTATAGGGATATCTATAAGTAAAGACACAGGCTAGTCTACTTTTTATTGAGAAATTCAAATTTGGGAGACTGCAACGGAATAAAACAATCACAGTATATCGAAATCTCCACACCAAGCTGCTTCCCTCCTTGTTCCAATTCAAATCAATCTGTATTATTTCATGGGTAAATGTTATTTACCAAACAATTCAAATGCCATCCTGAGAAGTCGGATTTTTTTACCACCACCCAGCACTTATTTCTCTACAAATGAGTGAAAAGAATCCTAAGTCTTTGTGGCCAGCTGACCAGTAATACATGTTATACAGGCAAGGGCTGTGCATGCAGTTTTCTGGAACCTCTGCAAGGCTCTTTCCCTGCCCCACTGTTCACCTGTTACATTGCTGCAGACATGAGTGCATGACAGCAATCAGTGACCTCAGTTTCAATAACCCACAAGTGCATCCTCCCTCACTGTGCCCAGTGCTTCAGAGAACTCTGAGGTGCACCTGCTTGTCACTAAGTGCAGAACACCAGAATCAATCAGGAAGGAAACCCACCCACCAGCTCTACTGCTGCCAGCTGTCAGACACAGTGCTTAAATATTCACCTAGCAATAGTATCATGGCCCAAAGAATGCTTAGACAAGGCTTCTGTTTCAAACTCGGAAAGTCCTCAGTAATTCCCAGAATTGACATCTCCTCCTCCTGTTCTCAGCAAATCAACAATTCAACAATCTGGTTGTTTGTTTGTTTGTTTGGTTTTTTTATTTGCTTGTTTTGTTTTGCTTGAAGTGAAATAAGTCCAGCAAATAAAAGAATTTGAAGTGTACAAGAATTTGATCATCTTTGCAGAGCAAAGCATGAAAGTTGTGCTGGGAGGGATTTCTGCTTACAAATACAGCAGGAGTGAACACCTGGGAGGGGTTTGAACTGTTTGTACTGAAGTACCAGTTGGCACAAGAACAAATAGGTACAAACTCATCATAAGAAAAGGCAGAAATCTGTAAGCGAATTAGAAGGTCACACAGACCAGATCCACACCAGAGCAGTGAGGATTTAGAATAACCCTTTACTAGAAGTATCAGGAAAAACAAAGAATAATTCCAGTGTGTCCTCTGACATGCCCATGATGGTATTGACTATGTTGCTGGTATAAAATCAAAATTGCTAAACTTCATTACAGCTAAACTTTAAAAGTTCCTCCACCAATAGATAGAATGAGGTGCAGTCAACTGCAGCTCAGGTATGACTGTAATTTCCAAAAACATCGGAAAAGAGGAAAATTACTTATGAGGAAAATACTTACATCTAAAGATTTACGTCTTTGTTTTGTTTTGTGCATAATCCCAAAATTGCTAAATCATGGCAACATCCCAGAACACCACAATTTTAGTTACCAATTTCACTGTCAAGCTGAACTTCAAAACTCTAAGGATCCAAATATTTTGCATCTTCCCATCCACTGCCTCCAGCACTGCATTGTGAGGATCCCTCCTCATCTCCCAGTGCAACCCAGAGCACTTCTATGCCTAACTACATAAGGGTTTAAGCCTGTAACATTTACCTTCATTGACAAAAATGATTATCTGATAACTTCACTTTCAAAGATAAATGTCCTATCAAAAATCAAAGCCCTAACATCAGTAGGTTTGCATAATATATATCCCTTTCTTTTGTGTGTGTTTTGGTTTTTTCCCTCTTGACCTTAGGCTGATTTTTTTCTCTGGTTTTACCCTCCTCCTCATTGCCTTATATGCAGGGGGATGATGGTGAGGCTTCTGAGAAGTGAGGGACTCCAATCCTTGCAAGATCTCCTCACTTAAGCATTTCCTAGTGATCTGTGATGCATTTATCAGTCTTCTGACATACAGACAGCTACACAAAGAGTAAACAGTTATGAGAGGATATTTCTCTACACAGAAAATGTTTGCAAACTCTATTTTTAAAAAAATCTTTCTAGATTTCAATGCACAATGATATTTCTCCTTTAAAGGTTGTCTTACTTTAGAAAACAAAAGAATTTAAGAAATTCATAAAGAGGTTTTGTTATTCTTCATGAAATCAGTCAAGTCTTCAGGCATTTCCTAGAGAGGTTCACAAGTTTATTCACTATTGTATCTCAGGGATTTATTTTTCTGTTTTTAAAATGAAATGAAATGAAATGAAAATGTGTACCTTAATATTAGCAATATCAACGAAAAACACAATAAAGATCAAGCATCTCATCTGATTAATCTTAAGTTAACCATATCCTTATTTATTTTTTCTGATTGCAGAAACAAAGGATTAACAAGACTCTGCGTTGTTTTAACTTTTCTGCAGTGTAGTTACCAGGCATATTTTTTAAACAATGCAAATACTCTAGTGTCACCATGACTGGTCTAAAGCTGATAAAACATTTTTTGATTTTTCAGTAGAATTATTGGTTGCATTTTCCTACTTGAGAATATGTGGCTTTTCTAAAAAACTTTCAAAATCCTGGTGGTCATACTGAAGTCAGCAGTGAAACATCATTAAGTTTAGTGTTGAGAATGTGCTATGTACATATGCATGTACCAAGGGATGAACCACCATTCAAAAAATGAAGTATTCTGAAAAGATTAAAAAAGCACATTGTCCCAAGTGAAGAATCTTGAACCATGAGGCTGATTTTATGCCTTTTTTACAGAGCTCATCACTGAAATATGCATTGAAGAAGGAGGATGTATAACTTAAAAATAAATAAATGAATTATTTTAGTTTCCTTCATAAGTGCTTTTCTTCCCACCTTCTTTCATTCTTCATACCTTCTTTAGTTCTCTGATGATAATTTTTTTAAAATTTCTTCCTGTACAGCTTTTCCCCAAACCTTGTCTAAAAAGCCTGGTTTTAACTGTGCCTTTAACAACAACACAACCAACAGCCTCTACTTTCACAGTCATAGGGTCCCTTTACCATCTTCACAGCCCTCCTCTGGGCACTCTGCAATAGTTTTATATGATTATATTGTGGCACCCAAAACCGCCCCCAGCACTCGAGGTGAGGCTGCCCCAGTGCAGAGCAGAGCAGGACAATCCCCTCCCCTGCCCAGCTGGCCATGCTGTGCCTGATGCCCCCAGGGCAGGGTTGGCCCTCCTGGCTGACAGGGCACTGCTGGCTCAGATTCAACTTGCCAACAACCAGGACCACCGGATTCTCTTTCCACAGCATTGCTCTCCAGCCTCTCATTTCCCTGTCTGCACATCCATCCAGGGTTGTCCCATCCCAGGTGCAGAAACTGAACATTAGTCCTTGTTACACTTCATGGGGTTGGTGTTTGCTCATCTCTCCAATTTATCCAGGTCTCTCTGCAGGGCCTCCCTGCCTTCAAGGGAGTCGACAGCTCCTCCCAGTTTAGTATTCTCAGTGAATGTAATATCCCTCCCAGTCCTACATCCAGGTAATTTATGAAGACGTTGAAGAGCACAGGGCTGAGGATGGAGCCCTGCAGAACCCCATGAGTGACAGGCCCGTCCGATGTCACCCATTTACTGTAACCCTTTGTGCCTGACTCATGAGCCAGCTGCTCACCCATCCCATGATGTGTTTATCCAGCTGTGGGCTGGACATTTATCCAGAAGGATCCTGTGAGAGATGGTACCAAAAGCCTTACTGAAATCTAAAAAAGATTACACCCACTGCCTTCCCCCATCAACTAAGTGGGTCACCTTGTCGAAAAAGGAAATTGCCCTTATGTTACTATATAACATTTCTAACTTGACAAGTCACATAATCAATTTAATACAAAATCACCAGATCTTTCATTATAACAAAATTTTACAAGTGAGGTTACCTTTACAATTTATTAAATTATGTTTCTGGATTTCAGCTACTGTAACTAACTCAGAAGATTTTTTTTTTTTCATAAGAAGACTTAAAACACTTTTCATCTTGGCTCATTGCCTTATCCTTCAGGCTGTGTGCAATTCCACCACACACCTTGTCCACCATGGGCTAGTAATAAATGTAACTGTCACTTGGGAGGCAGGCAAAGCCAGCCTGGTGATAGAAGAAGCCAGCAGGTCTGAAGAGTCTAAGATCAATGTGCTAGATTTCTTCATATGCAAAAATGCTCATCAAAATCAAGGAAGATCTAGGGAAACAATTGTTGCTTTTACCAGTTTAGCTGTTACAACTGACTAAAGGCTTAAAAATTTCAGGCTGTGTTTAATGCAGGTATGTAACACTTTCCGGGAAAATTAGCTTTAGGTTTTGTAGGTGTAATGCCAGGGGAAATTCTGAGCAGACATTAGGAAAAATTGGTAGAGAAAATTGGTAGAGAAAAAGACAAATTCTACCCCCATATATAAGAGCAAATCTAGATAAACCCTGCATTCTTCCTGTGCAATAATAAAATTACTTTGTAGCAAAATACCTGTAATATTACATAAAACTCTTCAAATCAAAGTCAATTCTTTGCATTAAATAAAAATGAAAACTTCAAAGAGTACAACTCGAGAAGCTAGGGAAAACCAGAAGGAAGGTTAAGTTCCCTCCCCCGCACCACAGACATGCAGCTTTTAATGGTGTGACTCTCACATCAATCCCTTCGTCTTTACATGAACGGGCAATTATTTACCATTTCTTTTCATCTTTCTCATTCAGTATTTGGCCTCTGATGTTATTCAGCTTTTCCTGCTGCAAGGCCTGC